AAGACTTATTTGGGCTTTTTCCTATTGCGATATCATGATATTAATACCACGGTATTAATTGGATTTACAACCGCACATTCTAAAAGCTTCCACTGAACCTCTGTATTTTACGCCATCTATAATTGTAACCACATGCGGCATCAAGTCATCGCTGGTACATTTTAGCATGACATTCCTATTTCCATGTAAGAAAAATATGCAAATTAATTGAAAACGTACCCACAGCCGGTAATTATGTTTATATCGAAGGTTACGTTAGGATTATCATAATGTGATACCTTTCATACATAATTTTGGGGGTTTACGGCTGATTATTGACGGCATGCTAAGTTCTACAGAAGGGACGCTGTGTTGCAACTAAAAATAAGGAACGCATGGCTAATGAGATAGTTTGATTTAATAACTATAAAAATAGAATTGCTTGATATACCACAAAATATTTAATAAAAAATACGGGAGATAACTCAAGATGCAATAAATTAAGGCATCATTGTCTTTGAATTATTATGTTAATATTCAGTTTATTACTGTGTTAAACAAAACTTTGGATCGGAGACGCAAATATGATATTCTACAAAGTTCAAGCTGTCCACAGACAGAGTCTTTTGGATCGGCCACAAACATTTCATCGAACTGAATTTCATTAAAGGGCAATATCTGTTACTACGGTTAGATATTTCTTCGTGCAAACCATCGTGGCTTGTCGAATCAAAGAAATACAAAATAGCTGGCGGCATTGATGGGCAATCAACAATATACCAGGCTTAACTCGACGAAATATGATAACAGAATAATATTGACTGCCCACATATAGACTATACTAACTCGAAACACACAACATAAGCTTTGCCTCTACAGTCATAATTTGATGAAAATTGTCCTGATCTTAATAGTTATAATCCATTCTAAAGTTGTCTGCTTCGTGAAGCTGATGAATCAGTGTGTACGCTCTACTAACTACTTGTATCAATCTCTTTTTGTGCTTACAAAGGGCCCTCGTCCATAGTAAATGGGTGATAAATTTACTCACAATAAGTTGCATAGTTTTTTTTAATCCTTGAAAGGAAGCGGATAGTTGAATGGGTCTTCATGGACAATGTCCAGTGACTAGGCAAGAATCTTCGGAAGTATTTGTTGATAACCATATTTTACGTCTAATATAATTGTTCAAACCTATCTAACTTTTGGACGACCAGCCCATAGTTACTTTCTTCACCAAATAATGCATATTGTGTTTACATCATTGACTTTCAATAATTAGATTTACAATAGTGCATACAGAAAGGATTGTCGAAAGTTATATAAGAGCAATGAGGAAAATTGTAGCAGACTTTAGACGGACGGGATATGTTATATGACTTCGAACTTTCCAAAGTTCCTTGTATGATTCTGAAACTATTCCTTGGTCAAGTCATCGGTTTGGAATATTAAATTACTCTAATTCCTTCTGCTTTTTGAGGGGTTAAGGGATCTTAGAATCTTCCTAAATTCCTCTGAAGACCTTTGCGCAGGCCGTGGCTCTAGCAGCATGGCGCTTAGGCTGGTGTCCTGAGGCCTGAGCACAGACTCTGAGCAAACATTTATTTATAAACTTATAATGAGTAACACTTCTTTCAATTACGTTGGCAAGTTTTTGTTGGCGCATAAATACTGCAGTGATAGTACACATTTCGGGACATTAGAGGAATAGGGTTAATGACTGTCTAAGATTGTGTCAAATAACTGTAATTTCTTAATTCAAAAATCCGCAACGTAGTAAATTATGTTTAGTAAATTATGTCTTTTAAAGTTAGAGTCATCCTGACATAATACAATGTACTCTACAATTATTATTTTGATGCTTGTAGAAATTCTGGCTTTATTCTGATCAATAGTTGTTGCAGCATAATATGCAGCAAGATAGGTCAATCCACATAGTCCTTCAAAGAATTGTTTTCAATAAGACCTAATAAATATGCTTTCATTGAATAACTTAAACTAAACGCACACAAATAATCACCAGTTTCATTATCCTAATATGGTCTTGGTTTTCCATAGAGAAGATTTTGCTGATTTATCCTCTGTGAAAAAATACACTTAGTTACATGGATAAATTATTTTTTCATGGAACTTAACACCTCATGGGTGAATTGGCACTTTTATATTATATTATTTTAAATATCCACGTATTGAACTTACTTTTCACTACCTCTCCAAAAATGTAATAAACAAATTTTCGAACAGGGACAAAAACGATACCGAAATCGACGAATGTCTTCTTGCAAAGTTGTTTACTCTTAAATATTCAAGGCTATAGTCCTTAGTGTATACTTCATATTCTTACACTCTTGTAATTTTTTAACATTAAACTTCCATTATCTACGATCCTGGGTTAAGAAAAGATTGCCCTTTCTATTTTTAAAGATTTTACCGCTGGATGTGTTGTAGTCCGTCATTTCTGCCCATCGAGCTGTACAAACGTGGTTTTTAATGAAGCCCATGAAGATTACTTTTTGACAGCTTTAATAGCAAAGCTTTTATATGGCAGGCTGAAATTATTCCCGTGCCTCAGGTATTTCAGGTTAAAACCTCAGGATCTGTATTAAAGAAATATAATATATAATTGTCTGTCAGAGTACAGACTGGACTCCAATGATTAAGCATGAAAATTCCAGTGTATTTTGATACGAGCAATTATTGTTAGGCTGACTTTGTATGCACTATACATGCACTGCTGAATTTACATGTAGCTTGCCTTACAAATTACGTACTGCATAAAACTGTTTATGCCACTGATATAGTTCATGCTAATTTACCAATGTGTTCTTTCTACTCGCCTTATGTTCGATTTAGATGACAGAGAAAGATCCACGGAAGTTATTCATCCTCAACGCCTTAGTGAACTATTTTGATACACATGAAGCAAACCTCGATAAGCTTTTCAACCATCCCAGCGTCAATGCATTTTTAGACAATGGCAACGCCAGATTACTGCTGGCGTCAGCCACAGACAATGGTGAAATCCTCCTTTGCAACGAGGTAAAGATGCTCGATTTTTCGCAATTTTTTCTCAGGTTGAAGGCCTGAAACTGGCCACAAAGACATTTGTATTCCTGAAGATAGCGCCGCTTCCCATCACGGATGAAAATTTTTCTAAACTCATTATGATAGCCTCATTGCAGGGTGGTGCCGCGCAATCGTTCTATAACAGCCTCGACCGTCTTTATGGTCCGCTAATGATGAAGGTAAATTAAGTGCTTTTAGTTGACTCTTTCAGAATGAAAGTAAAATGATGCATCAGTTTCCCCGTCTTAAACTTGCACTGAGCGATCTTGTCTCAGGTCTAGCCGCGTGCACTAAATCTCCTCAAGACAAGGATGATCAAACACCAAACGGTTAGCCACACCGAATTATTTTAATTGTGTACCTACTTACTACGTTAAAGTAGTAATATTGCTGTTTACTATTGTGCGTTCAGTTATCTTTGATCTGGCGTCCGAGGCCGACTACTGGTTGCAAAAATCGCGATCGAGTACACAGGGTATGAATGCAGAACGACTGCGTTCTGAAGCTATCTATAACGCGCTCAAACCTGCTGTGGATGCTACTCAACGATTGGAATTGCAAGCTATATGCACTAGGCAGCCCGCGGAATGGACTACTGACAAAGAAAGCCAAGCGCAAGCTGAGCATCGGATGGCCGCCATTGCGGAAGAATTCCTCTGTTCACTGTCCGAAGCACTGGAGACTTCTATTATTGACTGTCTCGATGGCGTCTGGCGCCTCAGAGATGTTGCACCACCATATCCTGAATCAAGAATGCGGTCCCTCTTGGAAGCTGTTGGCGGGTGGCTTTCTCGTGTCCTGATTTCCTATCTAAATCCGCTAAGCAGTGAGCAAACACAAACAGTTGTATCCCCATTGTGGGATCGCCCATTTAAACAGGTCAGCTTTACTGTTACTTGGACCGTTTTATGATGTTAATCTTATCCGCTTAGTTATTATTTATTGGTCAGCCACCAGCAGGAGTTTGCAGCGTTTCATTCTAGAATCCTGGAAGTTGCATTTTGGCATATAGGCTTAGGAATCATTGTGTATAAGTGAACATGTGCATTTTCGAGGCGCTAACATTGATTCGGACTGAGCATGGCGTTGGTGACTAAACATGCCTTTCAGCGGTTGTCCCAGCAGTGCTGGTTACCCAAATGACGTTCTATCAGACAGCG